TGTGACATATCCGGTTTGAGTACCCCTCTGATTGGCCACTGTGATGCCACTCGTCATCTCTCCTAACAGCGCTCTTGTTGTTGTGAGACTCCCGGGGGCAGACGCAACATCTTGCAAGAAACAGCGTCTCAAGGCTTCTTAACATTGAACAACCTATTCATATGTCATACCCACTTAACGGGAAGAAAACTCAGCTAACAGACGATATTATCCACTTTTGAAAAGTATCGATAGAGTATCGAAAAATACCGGGTACCGATAAAAAAAAAGAAACCCATCCCTACTGCTGAGTCATATGTTGCTCCTCAAACAACAAATAAATCCAGAGGTTTCTTTACTTCCTCTACAGAGAAAAGGAAAAAGAAACAAAAATCTCAGTTTCAGTGTCAGACCCACCGGACATCCATCCCGTAATTAAGCTGTCTCTGCCGCCTGACGTCATTATTCAGTTTCTGACGAGCAGGAATATTGTTTTCTGGCATCACTTTAACATTTTACAGGGAAAACCTGCATTTTGGTTTGAGGGTGCACGGCGAGAGTAAGAGGGTGCAGACATCCAATGAAAGGATCAAATAAAGATATTAATATAAACATAAGATGTTTAACCTGTTTAGCCCTGAGCCTGTGTTCCAGGTCTCAGGCTCGAAAATGACATTCTCAGAACAAAGGACCATATCTTCTAAAAGGGGAAAATTAATAATCTTTTTTCTCAAAGCAATGATAAACCTGTGAGTTGGACGTAGAAGAGTCAGAATCAATATAGAATTTTTTTATTTGAAAGTAAATTCAGATTGAACATAGTAAAAAAATGTTAATTATAGTGTCCATAAAGCATTACTTATAGTGAAACCACCCTTGAATGATGGTAAGGTAGACTAAAAGCTTTAGGAATCCAAACTATAACATATAATAAGTACCCTGTATCAAGATTGATTCAAAACAAGTGACATTTGACCTTTTTAGAGAGATTTAGAAAAAAAAAACCACCACGGTGGATTTGACGGTCGATTGACATCTCTTTTTAACCGTTAGAGCCAATAGAAATGAAGGGGAAGTTCCTCAAATCCATCTAAACATTACCCATTGGTGAATGAGTGATGCATAGCCAGAATGCCCCAAACCGGAAGCTGTCATACACTCATGCAGCTATATATGAAAACTCAGTTTTTGCCATAAATATGATGATGGATTATCAGTAATCATCCAAAGTGACAGACACATTGGATTAACCTATGTGTTAGGGAATAATTCTTCCTTACTCCTAAGATATTTAACCTTTCTGTGTGTTGACGTTTACGACCAACCCTGACTCTGTTATCTCCCGTAAGGAATGTGCTAATGCAGTCATATGTTGATATTTCTCAGTCTATGACTAGTCAACTCTCGGACACAGAGCCTAAGAGTCAGACAAGTGATTGAGTGTCTCCAGATGTTGGGGATATCTCCAGTGTTCCCAGCTGTTGATTAACTCTCTGTAAACTAGTTAAAAGGTCTATCGAGAGAGAGACTGGGCAGAATTGATGTGGCAACTCTCCGGGCAGTCAGAACCTCTGGCTGCTGTGACTTGTGATGTGAAATTCTCCGGCCGATACTTGTAATAAAACACCAGTGTTTGACATCAAAGCTCCAACTCTCCTCGTGTCTCTCTGAGTCCTGACTCTCCATTGCTGCAGAAGTTTCCCTTACACTATGGATTAACCTTCAGCGTTTTTATCGTTTTAATGCCATTGAACACGACTTTTGATCAGAATAACAGCAAAGGTAAGACTATTTCCCGTTTTTAGCTCCGTTAAGCTACGTGTTGTGATGTCTGTGTTTGCTTCCCCTGTCGCTCAGTGATGATACTAATACCTATAGAATCAGTGGAATCTGATATCTTGCTTGTGCAGATCCGATTAGTAATAAAGTATTTCTACCGTGAGTTCTGTGCTAAGCGTGTTAGCATTTTTTCGCTCAGCGCTCATTTAGACGCTTCTAGTGAAAATTGTGTTTTGTTTAGGTAAAAATGGTTCATATCGTCAGTTAGCTGAGTTTCTAACCGTTAAGTGGGTATGACACATGAATAGGTTTTTAAATGAGCAGGACAGAGACTTCGATCCGTTCAGGGTGAAAGGTTCAGGACAGGAGAACAGGATCACCTCTCTGTATTCATACGCATCTTTGACCGGATAGAAGCTGCCGATGGTCGGAGTCTTCGGAGGATGACAGTACATCACTGAAACATTCAATACATGGGAAGAGACGGAGAGTTTCTATGTTACAAACTCAGTAATCACATAGCAGATGCAAATACGCTAGAACATTAGTATATTATCCAGGGGAACCAACTCAGATATCATTTTGCGCCAGCCTCTGAGATCTGGGACCTGATGTTAGTAGTCATTTACAGGGATGGTAAAAGTATCCTTAACTCAAGTAGAAGTACAGATACTCGTGTTTAAAGATATTCTGGTGAAAGTAGAAGTACTGACTAAACTTCTTTACTCAAGTGAAAGTAAAGAGGCTTTGAAATGTACTTCAGTAGAAAGTACCCATAACTAGCAGCTGTTTTAAAGAGTACCTGACCTCCCTTTATATTAATAGAACAATAATGTCATTGTTAGCTAATGAATGTTTCCATGCTGAACAACGGCAACATGACAACGTTTCCATTGGTCCCTCTTCTTTAGAGAAGACCAGGAAATGATGGATACACGGATCGTGTTCAAATCAATAGGCACGCAATGACTCTAAAGAATAATGATCACGCATCAAACACACATTCAGACTAAAGGAACCAGCTGTTTGGGAAATGAGAGAAGTAGAAAGTACAAGTATTTGAGTGCAACATGTAAGAAGTAGAAAGTACAGGTATTTGAGTTCAACAATGTAAGAAGTAGAAAGTAAGGTATTTGAGTTCAACATGTAAGAAGTAGAAAGTACAGGTATTTGGGTTCAACATGTAAGAAGTAGAAAGTACAGGTATTGGAGTTCAACATGTAAGAAGTAGAAAGTACAGGTATTTGAGTTCAACATGTAAGAAGTAGAAAGTACAGGTATTTGAGTTCAACATGTAAGAAGTAGAAAGTACAGGTATTTGGTTCAACATGTAAGAAGTAGAAAGTACAGGTATTTGAGTTCAACATGTAAGAAGTAGAAAGTACAGGTATTTGAGTTCAACATGTAAGAAGTAGAAAGTAAGGTATTTGAGTTCAACATGTAAGAAGTAGAAAGTACAGGTATTTGGTTTCAACATGTAAGAAGTAAAAGTACAGGTATTTGAGTTCAACATGTAAGAAGTAGAAAGTACAGGTATTTGAGTTCAACATGTAAGAATAGAAAGGTATTGGGTTCAACATGTAAGAAGTAGAAAGTACAGGTATTTGAGTTCAACATGTAAGAAGTAGAAAGTACAGGTATTTGGGTTCAACATGTAAGAAGTAGAAAGTAAGGTATTTGTGTTCAACATGTGAGAAGTAGAAAGTACAGGTATTTGAGTTCAACATGTAAGAAGTAGAAAGTACAGGTATTTGCGTTCAACATGTAAGAAGTAGAAAGTAAAGGTATTTGAGTTCAACATGTAAAGAAGTAGAAAGTACAGGTATTTGGGTTCAACATGTAAGAAGTAGAAAGTACAGGTATTTGAGTTCAACATGTAAGAAGTAGAAAGTACAGGTATTGAGTTCAACATGTAAGAAGTAGAAAGTACAGGTATTTGGGTTCAACATGACATGTAAGAAGTAGAAAGTACAGGTATTTGAGTTCAACATGTAAGAAGTAGAAAGTACAGGTATTTGGGTTTAAGGCGAGACACGGCAGGCAAAAACATCGTTTTTCAAGTACTGGTCAATTTTGAGATTTTGTGCTATTTTGATTCCACAACATGTTTTCTTTCAGGCTTTTGGAAGGAAAACATACAAAATACACATTTAAGTGTTTATTTTACTATAGTTTCTCTATTTGCGTCTGTAGATTTCTCCTAAATTCACCAAAAGTTAGCATTCTAACGTAACATAAAGTACTGCGACCGCTGTGTGCACCATGTCAACAGAGGTATCGCTGGAAAGCTGTGTCTCTCCTGCACAATCGCATCGGATCCAAATATGGTCATTTCCTTTGTATCAGCAACCAATCGTGAAAGCACAAAGGGGTCTTAAACCAAGAAACGAAATCTCATTGGCTGGTGTCAATTTCTGACAACGTGATTCGTTCAGATATGTCACGTGGTGTGCTAAAACACTTCCTGGTTAGCTTTCCGCTAGAAATTGAAATCTCAAAATGGCAAAAGAACGGCGAAAAAAACGTTCACAGAGAAGACAACAACAATTGTCACTTGCACGAAGCAAGGTTATACAAAAAACAAATGACCCCGAACATGAAATACCTTCACAGAGTGCGTCGAGGCGCAAGCTGTCATCCAAAGAACAGGAGGGTTTAGCTAGCGCCTCACTGCAATCTTTAAAGGTCGTTTTCTCAAAATGAGTTTTTTCTCCTACTCTGAGTTCGAAATTTCAACTTCAGTAGCACGTACATACACTAAACCTTCCAGTTATATTCCTATCAATATTATGAAGGCTTTTACAGAAGGGTTTGTTCATATATCATTCATAGCCTGAATTATACAACATTGTATACCTAAAAACATGGCGAAAATGGATATTTTTGGGCTGTGGACAGTATTTTCTGATTTATGGAGTGATAAAAAGAGATATCCAATATCCCTTCTGAAAAAGCCTTAGATACTAATATGACTACAAAATGAAACGAGCATTTTGAACCTGGCTTTATCCAAAGTTCAGATTTCGATTCCTGAAATGTGTTAAAATATGTGCATATTTAATGAGATATGGATAATTTGCATATTTAAACATGCTATAAGACAGCCCTCGTTGCGTGCAATATTAGCAGAAAATCCACGTTGAAAGCTCAACTCCAATCCAACCATTGAGCAGTAAACAGATCAAACATCCCAGAATAATCATTGATCACCCTAACGAGACAGATATTGAAATGGCCTCTACCTGTGGGCTTCGTGGTGGATTCAGGACTTTTAGTGGTGGTGGTTGTATCTGCTGGTACCGCTGCAAAATATAATACATTATAATAATTAGTGCAAATATCACAAATAATCAGGGTTGCCCTCGACTCAACATTTCTCTAGTCGCCCGATTGTCGTCAATTCGGGCATTTAGTCGACTAATCGTCTCACGTTTATGAAACATTATGATTATTAATATGTTTTTTTTGTCCTCCCAAAATGGTTTCAGTTTCAAAGGCTGATAAAGAATGTTATTATAACAGCATGGTACGTTGTGCTTCATATAAAACACAAAATAAAACTGTAATAATGAACCTTTGAAATATAAATTAAATACCAACACCTTCTCTAAATAATTTGGATTAAGGGCAAAACTAGTCTCTTAAAAAGTGGGGCATCTTCCTGATTGTGAGGAACCACAGAGGAAATAAAGAAAATCCCCAAAGCTCCATGTATCTGAACAGGAAACCACAGAGCGTGCTTCTGGACTAAAGGTGGACTCATGTTCAGACTAAGGCTGCACGACATGGAGGAAATGAACTGTTGGGGATTATTTTTGATTTATATTGCAATATAATATATATGTATAGAAGAGGATCCGAACCAAACAATCAATAAAATGTTACCTCTCATTTATCATATATGAAGAATTCATTTTCACAAATTGATTAAAGCCAATCTTAAAATGATGAAACAAACGCCTGTTTGAGACTCCTCAGTGCACACAAACACATAACCTGGAGAAATAAATAAATACGGATATGTTATTGATCACCCCTCGATGATGTTCTCTTGTTATGAAATGTGTTCTCATAAATGATGATAAGCAGGAGGACAGAATTACGTCTAAACTGACGCCGTGTTGCATTTCTATAGGTTGTAGATACAAGCATGGTTTTATATACTATCACGTTTAATCATGTTTTATGCCGTTTGCCAAGACTTGATAAGTCGCTCGTAAAACACAGGAGGTATGGAAACTAAGAACACCATATGTGGTACATTTAACAGCTAATATAACACAACACATTAGTTGTATTTCCTTTAACTGGTGGATATAGGGTTGCTGCAGTGGAGACGCTGCGCACAGCTGATCGACAGCTGGAACACAAACCACCAAGTACAAAAACATAATTCAGATCCAGTCGTCATGACTCCACTCCGGAGGGATTCCCGATCACTTCTTACAGTCTCTCATCAAGGCGGGGTCTCCTGTCCCCGGTACCAACACACTGCCTGAGGAAGGCTATGTGTATTCTTTTTGTCATTAACCTTTTTCGGACCACTTATTTATTTATGTTGGTGACGATCCGACCTCCATGCTGCTACTCTGGTTCAAACTGCATCCACCAAACAATATGATTTATCTCCACCTCCCCAAAATAACCAGAATCTGACACGGTGTGAGATGTCTTTTTTAGCTGTTCTGTCGTCATTTCCTGCGATCTCCTTCATGCAGTCAGTCAGAATGAATGAATGAATGAATGAATGGGCGTTTCTTTGACTATTCATAGGCAAATATGGGCGTTACGTGAAGCCCGCAAAAGCTGCGCCGCATTTAAAGGGAAACCGGTGTAGGAGGTGCCGTACGCAAGTCCTGTGCCGGTACGCAGTCTTTTATGAATCGGAAAGTGTTGGTGCGTATTTATTTGCTTTGTCCTACGTAAGCAACCTTCCCACGCCAATCCTACGCCAGGCTTAATAAATGAGGCCCCTGGTGAATACACAGACTATACAGAGATGCTGTTTGAGAAACCAATGTGATTTTGGAAAATTGCACAAATTAAATCTATTCTAGCAGACCTCAACAATGGAAATATGATCAGTAGAAATGGCCATGATATGGGACCTTTAACATTTCTGGGTATTTTCATTGAGACTTACGTTCACATTTAGAATTAATTTCAACTTAATAGAGCGGTGCAGGAATGAGTCCTAAAACCAGGAAGTGAGTCAGCATTTCTCCACTTCCTGTTCCCTGGTCTCAGAGCCAATGGGATCTCTCCATAGGGTTTAGGAAACTATCTGAACTAAGGTCTGTGGTTGAGACGCATTGAAGAGACGGATCACGTTTCGTTCTAGGACATTAAATCCATCAGCAGTGACCCCTCTGGTGATTTCTGAAGAGTTGACGTGTCTGAGAAACGATGGTTGTTACCAAGTGGCTGAACAGGACTACAGAAGTCGTGGAGGCCGTTGTACGTCATTACGCCGAACACGTAAACACTCCTCTAAGTTAGTTTCTGTTCTGCTTGAAAGCAAGTCCCTGCCTCCTGCAGACTGTTCAAACAAACGCTTCAACTCGTTCCATTTAGAATCTGTGTGTTTGAATATGGATCTGAAGTTGGCGTGACGTTGAAGTCGTGCTGCTGTAATAATAATAATAATAATAATGCATTTTATTTATATAGCGCTTTTCACAACTCAAAGACGCTTTACAGTATGAGGGAGGGTAGACAGACAAGGACAGGCAAACAAGTAAGTATAGTAAAATTAAAAATTAAATAAAAATAAAATAAAAAGGCAGTCAAGGGGAAGTTGATTGAGAGGGGGGGGCTTATGGGTAGACAGAGTTGAAAAGATGTGTTTTGAGGCGGGACTGAAAGACTGTGAGGGACTCAGAGTCAAGGAGATCTTGGGGGAAGGGATTCCAGAGCCTAGGAGCTGCCACTGAGAAGGCTCTGTCCCCAAAGCTGCAGAGTGTGGATGTGGGAATGGATAGGAGTCCGGCTGCGGTGGATCTGAGGGACCGTGGGGGTTGATAAGCAGTGAGAAAGTTTGTGAGATAAGAGGGGGCCAGATGGTGGAGTGCTTTGTAGGTGAGGACCAGAACTTTGTAGTTGATGCGATGGGAGACAGGAAGCCAGTGGAGGTCTTTGAGGACTGGGGTGATGTGATGCCATGGTTTGGTATGCGAGAGGAGACGTGCAGCTGCATTTTGAACCCGTTGGAGTCTGTTGAGGGATGTAGTGCTGATGCCGTAAAGAAGTGAGTTGCAGTAGTCGAGGCGGGAGGAAATGAAGGCATGGATTAGTCGTTCGGCTGCGGGGCGGGTGAGAGAGGGTAGGATTTTTGCAATATTGCAGAGGTGGAAAAATGAGGTTTTGACTGTTTGGCGGATGTGAGGTTCGAGGGAGAGGGTGGGGTCAAAGATTACGCCAAGGTGGCGTGCCTGATTGGAGGGGGAAACAATGGTGCCGTCGATGGTGAGAGTTATGTTAGTGACCTTGCTGAGGGTGGATTTGGAGCCGATTAGGAGGAGTTCTGTTTTGTTGCTGTTCAGTTTGAGGAGGTTATGTTGCATCCAAGTTTTAATAGCTGTCAGACAGGAATCGATGTGGGTAAGGGGTGGGTCATGGAGGGATTTGGTGCTGAGGTACTTCCTTTATAGCATAACGTTAGCATTTTGCTTCTGGACATTAGATTTATGATTCCAACATTATAAAAGTAGGGAAGACATGTGGAGATTATCCGGCTGAACAAAACGTGCATTTATCAAACAGGGTCGTTTTCCACAGACCTTATTTCCAGCTATTTTCCTAAATCCTCTGGAGGAATCCTATTGCTTTTTGTGGAGGGAACCAGCAGCTTCCTTCAGGGTAAATACGTCCTCCCTGCACCGCTCTATAGCGCAGCCCTAATTGAAACTCCCCAGGTTTATCTAAATAGGATTTTCTTTGAGACTCACCTTCACATTTTGGGAGTGCAGGCTCCCACAGTTCGTTGATCCCACAGATTATGGTGGCAGAATTTGTCATCCTGTACCCCTCGTTGCACTTGAACGTGACGGTAGCCTTGTAAGTGTAGGGGCCCCGCGACCCCGAATCCCAATGACCGAACCCAACAACTGGCTCCTTACAATCTACCTCTGAAAGAACATCAAAATACACAGGAAGGAAATTCAGAAAAATTTCCAAAAACAACTGATTTAGAGTAAATTAGAGTCAGAGCTGAGATGCAATGGGAACATGTTAAATGAAGTGAAGTGAATAAAAGTGTCTTCATGTCTTAAAGCTGCTGAGTAGGGATGGGTATCGAGAACCGGTACTAAGTCAGTACCGGTAGCCGATTGGACGGTATCGGTATACCGTTAAGCCGCTGGACAAACGGTGCTGCTATCGGTATATGAATTACGCTACTTCCTTAGATGAAACAATTCTGGTTGGTTGGGAACCCTCATCCTGTGTGACATATCCGGTTTGAGTACCCCTCTGATTGGCCACTGTGAATGCCACTCGTCATCTCTCCTAACAGCGCTCTTGTTGTTGTGAGACTCCCAGGGGCAGACGCAACATCTTGCAAGAAACAGCGTCTCAAGGCTTCTTAACATTGAACAACCTATTCATATGTCATACCCACTTAACGGGAAGAAAACTCAGCTAACAGACGATATTATCCACTTTTGAAAAGTATCGATAAGAGTATCGAAAAATACCGGTACCGATAAAAAAACGAAACCCATCCCTACTGCTGAGTCATATGTTGCTCCTCAAACAACAAATAAATCCAGAGATTTCTTTACTTCCTCTACAGAGAAAAGGAAAAGAAACAAAAATCTCAGTTTCAGTGTCAGACCCACCGGACATCCATCCCGTAATTAAGCTGTCTCTGCCGCCTGACGTCATTATTCAGTTTCTGACGAGCAGGAATATTGTTTTCTGGCATCACTTTAACATTTTACAGGGAAAACCTGCGTTTTGGTTTGAGGGCGCACGGCGAGAGTAAGAGGGTGCAGACATCCAATAAAAGGATCAAATAAAGATATTAATATAAACATAAGATGTTTAACCTGTTTAGCCCTGAGCCTGTGTTCCAGGTCTCAGGCTTGAAAATGACATTCTCAGAACAAAGGACCATATCTTCTAAAAGGGAAAAATTAATAATCTTTTTTCTCAAAGCAATGATAAACCTGTGAGTTGGACGTAGAAGAGTCAGAATCAATATAGAATTTTTTTATTTGAAAGTAAATTCAGATTGAACATAGTAAAACATTTTTAATTATAGTGTCCATAAAGCATTACTTATAGTGAAACCACCCTTGAATGATGGTAAGGTAGACTAAAAGCTTTAGGAATCCAAACTATAACATATAATAAGTACCCTGTATCAAGATTGATTCAAAACAAGTGACATTTGACCTTTTTAGAGAGATTTAGAAGAAAAAAAAACACCACGGTGGATTTGACGGTCGATTGACATCTCTTTTTAACCGTTAGAGCCAATAGAAATGAAGGGGAAGTTCCTCAAATCCATCTAAACATTACCCATTGGTGAATGAGTGATGCATAGCCAGAATGCCCCAAACCGGAAGCTGTCATACACTCATGCAGCTATATATGAAAACTCAGTTTTTGCCATAAATATGATGATGGATTATCAGTAATCATCCAAAGTGACAGACACATTGGATTAACCTATGTGTTAGGGAATAATTCTTCCTTACTCCTAAGATATTTAACCTTTCTGTGTGTTGACGTTTACGACCAACCCTGACTCTGTTATCTCCCGTAAGGAATGTGCTAATGCAGTCATATGTTGATATTTCTCAGTCTATGACTAGTCAACTCTCGGACACAGAGCCTAAGAGTCAGACAAGTGATTGAGTGTCTCCAGATGTTGGGGATATCTCCAGTGTTCCCAGCTGTTGATTAACTCTCTGTAAACTAGTTAAAAGGTCTATCGAGAGAGAGACTGGGCAGAATTGATGTGGCAACTCTCCGGGCAGTCAGAACCTCTGGCTGCTGTGACTTGTGATGTGAAATTCTCCGGCCGATACTTGTAATAAAACACCAGTGTTTGACATCAAAGCTCCAACTCTCCTCGTGTCTCTCTGAGTCCTGACTCTCCATTGCTGCAGAAGTTTCCCTTACACTATGGATTAACCTTCAGCGTTTTTATCGTTTTAATGCCATTGAACACGACTTTTGATCAGAATAACAGCAAAGGTAAGACTATTTCCCGTTTTTAGCTCCGTTAAGCTACGTGTTGTGATGTCTGTGTTTGCTTCCCCTGTCGCTCAGTGATGATACTAATACCTATAGAATCAGTGGAATCTGATATCTTGCTTGTGCAGATCCGATTAGTAATAAAGTATTTCTACCGTGAGTTCTGTGCTAAGCGTGTTAGCATTTTTTCGCTCAGGGCTCATTTAGACGCTTCTAGTGAAAATTGTGTTTTGTTTAGGTAAAAATGGTTCATATCGTCAGTTAGCTGAGTTTCTAACCGTTAAGTGGGTATGACACATGAATAGGTTTTTAAATGAGCAGGACAGAGACTTCGATCCGTTCAGGGTGAAAGGTTCAGGACAGGAGAACAGGATCACCTCTCTGTATTCATACGCATCTTTGACCGGATAGAAGCTGCCGATGGTCGGAGTCTTCGGAGGATGACAGTACATCACTGAAACATTCAATACATGGGAAGAGACGGAGAGTTTCTATGTTACAAACTCAGTAATCACATAGCAGATGCAAATACGCTAGAACATTAGTATATTATCCAGGGGAACCAACTCAGATATCATTTTGCGCCAGCCTCTGAGATCTGGGACCTGATGTTAGTAGTCATTTACAGGGATGGTAAAAGTATCCTTAACTCAAGTAGAAGTACAGATACTCGTGTTTAAAGATATTCTGGTGAAAGTAGAAGTACTGACTAAACTTCTTTACTCAAGTGAAAGTAAAGAGGCTTTGAAATGTACTTCAGTAGAAAGTACCCATAACTAGCAGCTGTTTTAAAGAGTACCTGACCTCCCTTTATATTAATAGAACAATAATGTCATTGTTAGCTAATGAATGTTTCCATGCTGAACAACGGCAACATGACAACGTTTCCATTGGTCCCTCTTCTTTAGAGAAGACCAGGAAATGATGGATACACGGATCGTGTTCAAATCAATAGGCACGCAATGACTCTAAAGAATAATGATCACGCATCAAACACACATTCAGACTAAAGGAACCAGCTGTTTGGGAAATGAGAGAAGTAGAAAGTACAAGTATTTGAGTTCAACATGTAAGAAGTAGAAAGTACAGGTATTTGAGTTCAACATGTAAGAAGTAGAAAGTACAGGTATTTGAGTTCAACATGTAAGAAGTAGAAAGTACAGGTATTTGAGTTCAACATGTAAGAAGTAGAAAGTACAGGTATTTGGGTTCAACATGTAAGAAGTAGAAAGTACAGGTATTTGTGTTCAACATGTGAGAAGTAGAAAGTACAGGTATTTGAGTTCAACATGTAAGAAGTAGAAAGTACAGGTATTTGAGTTCAACATGTAAGAAGTAGAAAGTAAAGGTATTTGAGTTCAACATGTAAGAAGTAGAAAGTACAGGTATTTGGGTTCAACATGTAAGAAGTAGAAAGTACAGGTATTTGAGTTCAACATGTAAGAAGTAGAAAGTACAGGTATTTGAGTTCAACATGTAAGAAGTAGAAAGTACAGGTATTTGGGTTCAACATGTAAGAAGTAGAAAGTACAGGTATTTGGGTTTAAGGCGAGACACGGCAGGCAAAAACATCGTTTTTCAAGTACTGGTCAATTTTGAGATTTTGTGCTATTTTGATTCCACAACATGTTTTCTTTCAGGCTTTTGGAAGGAAAACGTACAAAATACACATTTAAGTGTTTATTTTACTATAGTTTCTCTATTTGCGTCTGTAGATTTCTCCTAAATTCACCAAAAGTTAGCATTCTAACGTAACATAAAGTACTGCGACCGCTGTGTGCACCATGTCAACAGAGGTATCGCTGGAAAGCTGTGTCTCTCCTGCACAATCGCATCGGATCCAAATATGGTCATTTCCTTTGTATCAGCAACCAATCGTGAAAGCACAAAGGGGTCTTAAACCAAGAAACGAAATCTCATTGGCTGGTGTCAATTTCTGACAACGTGATTCGTTCAGATGCGTCACGTGGTGTGCTAAAACACTTCCTGGTTAGCTTTCCGCTAGAAATTGAAATCTCAAAATGGCAAAAGAACGGCGAAAAAAACGTTCACAGAGAAGACAACAACAATTGTCACTTGCACGAAGCAAGGTTATACAAAAAACAAATGACCCCGAACATGAAATACCTTCACGGAGTGCGTCGAGGCGCAAGCTGTCATCCAAAGAACAGGAGGGTTTAGCTAGCGCCTCACTGCAATCTTTAAAGGTCGTTTTCTCAAAATGAGTTTTTTCTCCTACTCTGAGTTCGAAATTTCAACTTCAGTAGCACGTACATACACCAAACCTTCCAGTTATATTCCTATCAATGTTATGAAGGCTTTTACAGAAGGGTTTGTTCATATATCATTCATAGCCTGAATTATACAACATTGTATACCTAAAAACATGGCGAAAATTGATATTTTAGGGCTGTGGACAGTATTTTCTGATTTATGGAGTGATACAAAGAGATATCCAATATCCCTTCTGAAAAAGCCTTAGATACTAATATGACTACAAAATGAAACGAGAATTTTGAACCTGGCTTTATCCAAAGTTCAGATTTCGATTCCTGAAATGTGTTAAAATATGTGCATATTTAATGAAATAATGGGTAATTTGCATATTTAAACATGCTATTTCAGAAAACTTGTAATACAAAAAACAATTGCCTTATTGGAAGTAATTAACTGGAGACATTTCTAGCTGATACCTTTAAGTTAAAAAAAATTACCCTATTCACCTGGGGTGTCTCGCCTTAAAATGTAAGAAGTAGAAAGTACAGGTATTTGAGTTCAAAATGTAAGAAGTAGAAAGTACAGGTATTTGAGTTCAAAATGTAAGAAGTAGAAAGTACAGGTATTTGAGTTCAAAATGTAAGAAGTAGAAAGTACAGGTATTTGGGTTCAACATGTGAGAAGTAGAAAGTACAGGTATTTGGGTTCAACATGTAAGAAGTAGAAAGTACAGGTATTTGTGTTCAACATGTAAGAAGTAGAAAGTACAGGTATTTGAGTTCAACATGTAAGAAGTAGAAAGTACAGGTATTTGAGTTCAACATGAGAGAAGTAGAAAGTACAGGTATTTGTGTTCAACATGTAAGAAGTAGAAAGTACAGGTATTTGTGTTCAAAGTGTTAGAAGTAGAAAGTACAGGTATTTGAGTTCAAAATGTAAGAAGTCAAAGTAAAAAGTGGTCAGAAAAATAAGTAGTGGAGTAAAGTACTGATACCAGAAACATGTACTTAAGTACAGTAACAAAGTATTTGTACTTCCCCCTCTGGTAGTTTATTATAGATGTATAAACACACAGACTCACCTTCACACACAGGCGGCCGGCCCATCCAGCCCTCGTTGCCACAAAGGATATTCGGATTTCCAACCAAATCGTAACTAATTAGAGAAATAAGAAAAAAAACGTATTTGTTTTTGAGCAGATGTTCTTCCTTTGACCTGTTAAGCCTGGAGCCTGTTTTTCAGGTCTCGAAAATGACGTTCCCAGGACAAATGACAATATCTTCACTTCTAAAAGGGGTACATTAATAATCTTTGTTCTCAAAGCAATGATAAACCTGTGAGTTGGATGTAGAAGAGTCAGAATCAATATAGATGTTTTTTATGTTAAAGAAAATTCAGATTGAACATAGTAAAAAAAATGTAAATTATAGTGTCCGTCCAAAAATAAACCATTACTTATAGTGAAAACTAACCTTGGATGATGGTATGGTAGACTAAAAGCTTTAGGAATCCAAACTATAACATGTAATAAGTACCCTGTATCAAGATTGATGCAAAACAAGTGACATTTGACCTTTTTAGAGAGGTTTAGCACAACAAAAAACTTCTGGGGTCATTTGGGTGGATTTGCCGTTTCTCTGGAACCCATTGGTCGATTTTGATGATTGACATCTCTTTTGAACCGTTAGAGCCAATATAATCGAAGGGGAAGTTCCACACACACACACGTTACCATTGAGGAGTGAGAGCTATGCGCACGCAGTTTGCCCAAAGCGAAACCTATCTTACGCTCTGAAATCTGAAACCTAGGCTCAAACTAGTAAATATGAGGATGGATTATCAGGAATAATTTCAAAGTGACAGACACATTGGATTAACCTATAGATTACCTTCAGCAGCGTTGTTATCATTGTAATGCCATTGAACACGACTTTTGATCAGAATAACAGCAAAGGGTAAGACAATTTGGCCGTGTTTCCTCCCTAAAGCTACATTGTGTGATGTCTGTGTTCGCTTCCCCTGTCGCGGGTTCTGATCGCTCAGTGATGATACTTATACTTCTGTGGAATCTCATTTTGCTAATCGATATCTTGTTTGTGCAGATCCGATAAGTAATAAGGGTATTTTATCGTGAGTTCTGTGCTGAGTGTGTTAGCAATTTTTCGCTCAGGGCTCATTTAGACGCTTCTTGTGAGACTTGTGTTTTGTTTCGGTAAAAATGGTTCGTATCGTCTGATAGCGGAGTTTCTTCCCGTTAGGTGGGTATGACACATTCATAGGTTTTTAAATGTGAAGAAGCCCTGAGACACAACAAAAACAGGTTAACAACCCTGAACACTCAGAGAGCATATTGTGCTTAACCTCTACCTGTTGCATTCCAATTATAATTATAATTCAAATGAACAATGTGTACACGTGTGTCATCTATGTCTAAATAAGGCGGGACGACAAAAAAACTCATATCACGGCCTTTTCCAAATTAGAACGGCATCACGGTATTTATTTATGGTTCAATGATTTAAATGTATTAACAACAACAACAACAGCAATCTCCAGTTCTTCAGAATCAGAATCAGGTTTATCTCCAGATAGGTTGACACGTACGAGGAGTTTGACTTGATGTCGTGGTGCATACATCAAAGTAAAAACTGTTTTTAAAACACAGATAGAGAACTATTTTACGAAAACTATAATAACATAAAAACATATAGCAGTATTTACATTGAAATGGAATTGGAATAAAATGTAAAATATTCAGCGTGCATCTGCAGCCTCACATGTTCTGCTGCTACGCTTGGCGCTGTCCCCCAGCATGCATTTCAACGGTGCGACAGTGAAAGGAGTCCCCAGAGGACTCCTTTCACTTAAGAAATCATTCAAAGTGACACATTGGATTAACCTATGGATTAACTTCAGCAGCGTTTATCGTTTGAATGCCATTGAAGACCAGTTTTGACCAGACTACCACACAGGTGAGCCATGTTAGCGTTTTTGGCTACCTAGCGCCATATATTTTGATGTCTGTTCTTGTTATTATCTCCACGAGTTCGTATAATTGAGTGATAATGAGGGTACCCATCGATTCTGTGTCCCCTCACGATGTGAAACGATGGGTTGGATGTGCAGCAAAGATAAATAATAAGGTTTAGTGAGTGAATCTCGGTGCAGTCATCTGTTAGCATTTTTCGCTCGTTGCTAATTCAGAGGATCAGCGTTAGCGTTGTGTTTTTTTTTGGGAAACAAATTAAAATGATCAGTTAGATGAGTTTCTTTCCGTTACATGGATATAAAACATTCATAGTTTATTAAATGAACATGCCCTCAGACACTGTTTCCTGCAAGATGTTGCAGGAGGCCCCCGGAACCGGGGTCTCGAGCCGGTTCATCAAACTTACCCCACCTTTAAGTTTCCTGTGGTTATTTATATATTTTTTATTGAAATAGTAGGTTGGTAGTAAGTTATTCTCTATATTTTATTCTGTGCGTTCCTTACATACTCTGCTGTTCATATGTATATATTTAGTGTCTATTTGTCCTTTACTTTGGTATTTTATTTTGTATTTTATTATAGTTTTGACTCATGTGCAAAGCCTTGTAAACTTGCTGCTAGAACAACACAATTGTCATGTTAGGGATAAGATGAAAATATATCTAATTTTTGTATTTTAATGACATTTTAACTTGTGCATCGCTTCTCAACATCTAATCATCCTATGTATATATTTGTTGAGTAGTACGTTGGTCTATTATATTCCAATGTATTCTGTATGCTATAGATCAGTGACCATCAACTGGTGGCCCGCGGGCCACATCCGGCCCGCCAGACATTCTCATCCGGCCCGCACGGCGGGGGTGACTGTGGCGTTGGCGGAGTGGTTAGTGCGTTCGCCCCCCACTCAAAATCGCTGGCCCCCGAAAGTGTCTCTTGGAATAGTTTTGGCCCTCGGACCCCTGATAGACCCCTGCTCATCTTTTGTGGATTTTATATATTTTTATTTTATTTATTAATAAACCTTTGCTCAGTTTTTATGGGTGTGTGACTCACCCAGGTTTGCAGGTGACCGTCAGTTTGTCTCCGAACTCATTCCCTTCAGAATAATCCACGCTTCCATTTGGCACGTCTTCAAAAGCGCCACATTGCTTCCCTTAAAAAACAACAGAAAAAACCCTTAGGATTAAATTCATCCCTTAAACATTTCTGGATATCTGTGTTTCAGAGTGTAAGAATACTCTGTTACAGTAAAAGTCCTGCATTCAGAATGTTCCTCAAGTAAAAGTAGAAGTACTCAGATCTTGTACTTGAGTAAAAGTAGAAGTACTCAGATCTTGTACTTGAGTAAAAGTAGAAGTACTCAGATCTTGTACTTGAGTAAAAGTAGAAGTACTCAGATATTGTACTTGAGTACAAGAAGAAGTACTCAGATCTTGTACTTGAGTAAAAGTAGAAGTACTCAGATCTTGTACTTGAGTAAAAGTAGAAGTACTCAGATCTTGTACTTGAGTAAAAGTAGAAGTACTCAGATCTTGTACTTGAGTAAAAGTAGAAGTACCAGAGTGTAGGAATACTCTGATACAGTAAAAGTCCTGCATTCAGAATGTTCCTCAAGTAAAAGTAGAAGTACTCAGATCTTGTACTTGAGTAAAAGTAGAAGTACTCAGATCTTGTACTTGAGTAAAAGTAGAAGTAGGCCTACTCATATCTTGATCTTGAGTAAAAGTAGAAGTACTCAGATCTTGTACTTGAATAAAAGTAGAAGTACTCAGATCTTGTACTTGAGTAAAAGTAGAAGTACTCAGATCTTGTACTTGAGTAAAAGTAGAAGTACCAGAGTGTAGGAATACTCTGTTACAGTAAAAGTCCTGCATTCAAAATGTTCCTCAAGTGAAAGTTGAAAAGTATTATCTTCAAAATATAGTGAAAGTAGCGACAGTAAAATAAGTCGTTGTGCAGATTGGTCCATTTCAGAATAATATATATGATGTATTTTATAATGATTGATCATGAAAGTGTTCTCAAAGCTGGTGAAGGTGCAGCTAGTTTGAATGACTTTGTATACTGCAGGGTAGCTGGTGGATTTACTCCAGGTGGAACTACAGTCTGATTCAACACTTGATTATATTTCACATCATTCATCCACATCTGTGAAGTAACTAAAGGGATTAAATACATGCAGTGGAGTAGAAGTACACCATGTACATCTGAACTGTAGTGGAGTAGAAGTACACCATGTACCTCTGAACTGTAGTGCAGTAGAAGTACGCCATGTACCTCTGAACTGTAGTGGTGTAGAAGTACACCATGTACCTCTGAACTGTAGTGGTGTAGAAGTACACCATGTACATCTGAACTGTAGTGGAGTAGAAGTACACCATGTACCTCTGAACTGTAGTGCAGTAGAAGTACGCCATGTACCTCTGAACTGTAGTGGTGTAGAAGTACACCATGTACCTCTGAACTGTAGTGCAGTAGAAGTACGCCATGTACCTCTGAACTGTAGTGGTGTAGAAGTACACCATGTACCTCTGAACTGTAGTGGTGTAGAAGTACACCATGTACCTCTGAACTGTAGTGGTGTAGAAGTACACCATGTACCTCTGAACTGTAGTGGAGTAGAAGTACACCATGTACCTCTGAACTGTAGAGGAGTAGAAGTACACCATGTACCTCTGAACTGTAATGGTGTAGAAGTACACCATGTACCTCTGAACTGTAGAGGAGTAGAAGTACACCATGTACCTCTGAACTGTAGAGGAGTAGAAGTACACCATGTAACTCTGAACTGTAGTGGAGTAGAAGTACACCATGTACCTCTGAACTGTAGAGGAGTAGAAGTACACCATGTACCTCTGAACTGTAGAGGAGTAGAAGTACACCATGTACCTCTGAACTGTAGAGGAGTAGAAGTACACCATGTACCTCTGAACTGTAGTGCAGTAGAAGTACACCATGTACCTCTGAACTGTAGTGGAGTAGAAGTACACCATGTACCTCTGAACTGTAGTGGTGTAAAAGTACACCATGTACCTCTGAACTGTAGAGGAGTAGAAGTACACCATGTACCTCTGAACTGTAGTGGTGTAGAAGTACACCATGTACCTCTGAACTGTAGAGGAGTAAAAGTACACCATGTACCTCTGAACTGTAGTGGTGTAGAAGTACACCATGTACCTCTGAACTGTAGTGAGTAGAAGTACACCATGTACCTCTGAACAGTAGTGAGTAGAAGTACACCATGTACCTCTGAACTGTAGTGGAGTAGAAGTACACCATGCACCTCTGAACTGTAGTGCAGTAGAAGTACACCATGTACCTCTGAACTGTAGTGGAGTAGAAGTACACCATGTACCTCTGAACTGTAGTGAGTAGAAGTACACCATGTACCTCTGAACAGTAGTGAGTAGAAGTACACCATGTACCTCTGAACTGTAGTGAGTAGCATAACATGGAAACACTCAGTTAAAGTACGAGTACCTCAAAATGATACTTGAGTAAATGTACTTAGTTACTTTACACCTCTGTATATCGCTAACTGGTACTGGATATGTATTTTGTAAATTGTGTAATTTGTAGTTTAATCTATTAATATTTGTATGCATGCTTCTTCATAAGCTGTCTTTGGCTCAAATGTAAATGTCCTCCTCTGTGGGACGAGTAAAGGTATTGTACCGCTACGTGTAAATACTAGTACTCACTTTTACACGTCATCCTCAAAGAGCTCCAGTCTCCCGCAGTGCAGGTGATGGATGCAGATCCTCCAGCAGTAACGTAGCCAACATCACAAGCAAACGTAACTTTTGTCCCGTCGGGGAAAGATTGTAAAAGTATGTCGTTCCCCTTCAGCCCCATGTTGTCTCCTCCCACAGGGCTGGAGCAGTCCTGAGCTGGGGAGGGAACGTCCAGAAGTTAATGTGTAACGTAGAATCAAAACAGGACTAATGTCATATCTGCAGCGAGATTATAACCACTGACCTTGAGCTGAAAGGAAAAGGCCAACACAGGTCAGGAGCAGGAGGAAGGAGGCCGCCATGATTTAAGACCGTCTGGTGAAGAGAAACATTAAAACATTAAAACATGTGATGGTTCAAATGTAAAGTAATGAATTAGATTTACTTAAGTACAAGTTTGAGGTACTTTACTTGAGTATTTGCATGTTATGCTACTGTGTACTTCTACTGCACTACAGTTCAGAGGTACATGGTGTACTTTTCCTTCACTACATGTGTTTAATACCTTTAGTTACTTGTGGATGTGGATGTGGATGTGGATGAATGATGTGAAATATAATCAAGTGTTGAATCAGACTTTAGTTCCACCTGGAGTGAATCCACCAGCTACCCTGCAGTATACAAAGTCATTCAAACTAGCTGCACCTTCACCAGCTTTGAGAACACTTTCATGATCAATCATTATAAAACATATCATATATATTATTCTGAAATGGACCAATCAAACAACGACTACTTTTACTGTCGCTACTTTCACTCAGGGGCGGATCTAGAAAAATATTCATGGGTGGCATCCCCTGGCAGAAGTATATGCTGATTTAAATGCAGTCATATCAATCAATGTTAACTTGGAAAGCCACAATATTTATTTTAACTCAATAACATCAGGTGACATTATTGTGGCACATCAGTAAAGCCTTACAAGGTGGCAGACATCATTGAATGAATTTTAACTGAACAATAACTGAATGAGTTTCACTCTTAGACCAGCAGGGGAACCACATCTATGCAGACTGCTGCAATAAGTACATTAACTGTCTCATCGATGTTTGTCTGTATGAATATGATACTATTAACAATCATATTATTCCTATCAGCTGTCAGCAATACATCAGTATTGGGTCCACTCCTATTCATCATTTACCTCCTCCCACTAGGCACAATCCTCCGTCACCATGGCATCCACTTTCCACTATGCTGACGACAAGCAAGTCTATATCTCAACCAAACCCAACACCGCCCTCCCGCCCACCTCCCTCACCACCTGCCTCCAGGATATCAGGAGCTGGATGAGCAGGAACTTCCTGAAGCTAAATGGTAGTAAAACTGAGGCCCTGCTCATCGGCTCAAAAAACACCCTCTCCAAAATCCTAACCACCCCACCCCCAAGCATCATGATCGACGGCTTCCCTGTATCCTTCACCAGCCAAGTCAAAAGCCTTGGCGTCATCCTGGACAGCACCCTTTCGTTTGCACCCCACATAAAAAACATCACCCGGACTGCCTTCTTCCATATCCGCAACATTTCCAGACTCCGCCCATCCTGTGGTGGCGTCTTGATCCTTGTCTACAATTTAATCGCCACCTCTATAGGGGTTGTGGGTTTTGACGCGCCTCTCTTTGTTTCCAAACAATTCAGCGGAGATCGTAGTTGAATCAGATGAGCTTTGTTCCTTGATCCACACGGCACATACAGGAGGACACATTTCTTCGCTTCATAGTCACTAAAAAGTGTATCATTTTCCAAAGTAACAAAAAGAACACGGTCAAAAGACTTTTCCATTTCCCCGTCTATCACCCCCAGCTGTGTCCCATCAATCTACCATATATAGGCATAGCCATGCACGTGATACTGACGCACATATCACAAATAATAAGTGAGCCTTAAATGAATGCATTTTAAACCATAATGTGACTCACAAAAATAGTCGATAATTTACAGTATAATCTAATTTATATTATTATTAAGCCTAACATTCAGACAATAATAACAAAAGGTAAAATGGCTCTAACACATCCCTTTCACAATCCAGCACCGAAATCCTGGTTAATGCATTTGTCACAACCCGGATTGACCACTGTAATGATATCCTCTCTGGCCTACCCACAAAACTACTCAACAGACTCCAAATCATTCAAAACTCGGCTGCCCGGATCATTACCTGTACCAAATGGTCTGACCACATCACCCCCATCCTCATCCAACTTCACTGGCTCCCTGTTCAGCACCGGATTGACTAAAAAAACCTTCTGCTTACATACAAAGCCCTCAACAACCTCACCCCCACCTATCTCTCAAACCTCCTCCAGGAATACACCCCCTCCCGCTCCCTGCGCTCATCCTCAGCCGGACTCCTGACTGTCCCCACCTCCCGCCTTAGCACCATGGGAGCCAGGGCTTTTAGCTGCACCGCGCCCAGGCTCTGGAACTCTCTGCCTCCACACATCAAACAGTCTGACTCCATCACGATATTCAAATCCCACCTCAAAACCCACCTGTTTAAACCGGCCTACTCACTCTAAAACACATTCAACCTGCCATCACGGATCCTCCTCTCACTCCGTCACTCCACACTCTTGTCTGTTTTATGTTTTATGCTGCTGTATTGCCTTGTCGGTTCGATTAAATTGTGTTCCGTTTTTGTTTTAGCCGTTTTGACTTTTAAATGCACTGTAAGGCGACCTTGGGTGTCCTGAAAGGCGCCTCGAAATAAAACGTATTATTATTCTTATCAGCTGTCAATCACTGTTATGATTCACATATTCAGTGTTATTATTAAATAAACTATATTTTTTGGAGGAGTTAATGATGAATGTTCCTCAAGATGCTTGCTGACCCTCCTTCAAATTTGAAAGACAAGTAATTACTATCATAAATCAAAAGAATCAAAAGAACAGTTCAGCGCCCCACGACTTCACTGCAAACACTTACAACCTTGACTTTACATCAGAAAGAACAAACATTAAAGAAGTGACTAACTGCATCAATTAGGGTTAAAAAATGTGTATTCAGCTAAAACATAAACATCGCGGCAGCTATGATCCAGTGGAGAGTCCTTACCTGCTGGCCTAGTTAAATCAAAGTGGTTACTTTCTGTTGGCTGGGCAGTGAAGTTTTACACACCGTCTTATTTGACTTTCTCAGGACTTGAAACTGTTTTTGGGGGCAGACCCCCACAAAGAAGAAAACTATTATACACACGTAAGGTCATCATCTTAACAGTTTATTATTCTCATCGACTCATCCGTGAGCAGAGCATCAAGCTGCCGATAACAGCTGAATGTGGCGATTACCATCTTGATCAGCAAAACGCCTCACAAACGTATTAAGATTTAAAGCTATGGTGCGTTTTGATTCAATGCTGAGTACAGCCTGAAGAACATCGAGGATTAAAAAACTAATGTCACAACAGGACTTAGAAAAGCTTGTCCATGCTTTTATCTTTAGTAGACTCACTCGACTACTGCAATAGTGTCTTCACAGGGCTCACTAAACAATCCATCAGAAAGCTGCAGCTGATCCAGAGCGCTGCTGCTCGAGTCCTCACTCACACTAAAAGAGTGGATCACATCAGTCCGGTTCTGAAATCTCTACACTGGCTTCCAGTCGGCCACATCATTGATTTTAAAGTACTATTGCTAGTTTTTAAATCATTACATGGTTTAGGACCAAAGTATATTGTTGAACTCCTGCATAATTACGAGCCATCAAGGTGCCTCAGGTCTTCTGGGACGGGTCTGCTATCGGCTCTATGTTTGAGTAACAACAAAACATGGAGAGACAGCATTTAGCTGTTATGCCCGACACTCCTAAAAAGTCTTTTAATTTGTTTTGTAAAGCACTTTGAATTGTCGCGTACAGAAAAGTGCTATATAAATAAACTTCCCTTCCCTTGCCTTACAGCCAAACCTGACAGGCTCTTCTCTGTCATTGTAGACTGCAAATACCTCATTCCTTCCGTCTACTTGGATCCGAAATGCTTCTCGTTTTGAGCTGTCCCCCGTTCAAATGAAATCGCCGCCAATCATATTTCCAGGCTCGCGCCAGGGCCGGGGGAGGGGTTACAAGGCTCACGTCTTGTGCTGCATTCATTGCACTCGGACATTAGAGATTTTCTCTCATAAATGTTCGATGAGCCACAACTTTTCTTTCAAAACAAAGCTGCCAAATGGGGTAGCAAGGCATTTTTCTGAGGTGGCAGCTGCCACCCCGTGCCACCCCGTAGAACCGCCACTGCTTTCACTATATTTTGATGAGAATACTTTTCTACTTTCACTTGAGGAACATTTTGAAAGCAGGACTTTTACTGTAACAGAGTATTACTACACTCTGGTACTTCTACTCAAGATCTGAGTACTTCTACTTTTACTCAAGTACACGATCTGAGTACTTCTACTTTTACTCAAGTTCAAGACTTGAGTACTTCTACTTTTACTCAAGAACACGATCTGAGTACTTCTACTTTTACTCAAGTTCAAGACTTGAGTACTTCTACTTTTACTCAAGTACAAGGTCTGAATACTTCTACTTTTACACAAGTACAAGATCTGAGTACTTCTACTTTTACTCAAGTACAATATCTGAGTACTTGTACTTTTACTCAAGTACTTCTACTTTTAATCAAGATCTGAGTACTTCTACTTTTAATCAAGATCTGAGTACTTCTACTCAATAGTAGAGTACAAGTATAAAGTAGTATTGTGGTGACACGTTATTGGACATAATTCACCTTGCTTATTGTGTTGCCACACGGACCCTTTAGTGGGGAACACCTGTAGCTTTAGCTGCCATTCCTGCTAGCTCATCAGGCAGAGCAGTGCATGTGTTAACCTCTCTGAAAGTAATGGATAATAAAGATTGGAACTCCATTCTTAATACACCGCCTCCGACTCTCTTTTCACGGCACTACACTGGTGACCCTGACTTTTCCGAGAAAGTTTCCGGAAAATTAACGAACATGGCTGAGCGCGATGTTTTCATAAAGCTGCCGGAATTCTGGGAGCACGCCGCGGAGGCATGGTTCGCACACGTGGAGGCACATTTCGCCTGCCGACAGGTCCGTGACGGGGACCTAAAATACTACCATGTGGTAGCAGCGCTGGGGAGCTCCACGTCGTCCAGGTTGGTGGGATTCATCGCAGCCCCCCCACATCATGGCAAATATGAGGCGATTAAGGCCCTTCTCCTTAAGACATTTAGCTTATCTGCTAAGGAGAGGGCCCGCCAGATACTTGACATTCAAGGCCTAGGAGACAGCAAGCCATCCCAGCTAATGGAGAAAATGCTAAATCTGCTAGGGGGGGAAGATCCCCGGATTTTATTCACG